GCGGCCGGGACCCACCCTGCCTGTAGGGCGGTGCCCAGCCATGTGCAGGGGGCGGTGGCAGGTGACCGCTACCGCCCACTGTCCCGTAGCTGTACTGGTTCACGGTGGAGTTCGGGTTGTGCAAGCAGAACGGGGAGGTGAAGGCGTACGGCGCCGGGTTGCTGTCTTCCTACGGGGAGCTCCTGGTGAGGCTGTGGGGGGAGGTCTGGGTTCCTGGGCCTCGGGAGGCTTGTCGCTGCCCAGACCCCATGTGTCCCGGGCCTTGGGGGGATGGTGGGCATCCAGGACCAGAGCCCGCCAGGGCCTCCCCGGAACTGCCTGTCTGAGGAGTGGGGTGGCGGAGGAGGGTCTGGGCCCAGAGCCCACCCCAGGGTGCAGTGGGGTCTTAACCCCGTGGTCCCCCAGCACTGCCTGTCTGAGGAGCCTGAGGTCCGGGCCTTCGACCCTGAGGCTGCCGCCGTGCAGCCTTACCAAGACCAGACCTACCAGTCGGTCTACTTTGTGTCCGAGAGCTTCAGCGACGCCAAGGACAAGCTCAGGTAGGCCCCTGCCCGGCGAGACCCCTGCCCGCCCCAGGCTGGACAAGCCAGACCTTCCCCCCGTGGGTGAGGCTGAGCCCAGAGCCAGGTCATCGATGAGAAACCCAGCTCTGGTTCCAACGGTGCCTCCTGGGGAAAACCATGGGACTAGGGGCCGCTGGGTGGCCAGGTCGAGGGCAAGGCCAGGCCAGTTCAAGTGTACCCAGGTCAAGCTGCGTCAAGGCCGGGTCAAGGCCAGGGCGAGGCCGGGACCAGGCCGGGTCGAGGACACCTCAAGAGCGGGACAAGGTCGGGTGAAGGCCAGGGCACGGCCAATCTCCCAGCCCTCTGACCTGGGATGGGGTCAAGTTCGAGGGGAACACAGAAAGGCAGGTGGGCCGAGGCTGGGGTGGGGAGTTCCCGGGACCGGGGGCTGGAGTGCAGTGATGAGGGTGTCCGGGAGAGGGGAGCAGAGCCCACCTCATGAACAGTCTCATGGCCTCCCCTCCAGCCTGCTGCTGTACCTTGGGGTCGGGAGCTGTGTCCGGCTTGGAGAGGGAGGGCTGAGCCCCACTCACAGTCTTAGGGAGGCAGGCAAGGAAAGCTTCCTGGAGGAGGAGGCCCGGAGGAGGCGGAGGGAGAGGGGCCACCTGGCACAGGCTCCTGTGGAAAGGGCGCCGGAGCCTTCTCCCCATCCCACTCCCTCACTCGGCCCTGGAGGAAGCCTCATGGTCCTGCCTGGGTCCGGATTTGGGCAGAAGGAGCTTTGGGGCTTCCGTGACTCAGCCGGGCCCTGGAGCCCCGAGCGCGCCCAGCTCCCCGAGCCCCCACCGGTGACCCCCCCCTCCCCAGGAGCTATGCCACCCGGATCCAGCGGCCCTTCTCAGTGAAGTTCGACCCGTACACGCTGGCCGTGGACGTGCTGGACAGCCCGCACGCTGTCCTGCGCTCCCTGGAGGGTGTCCAGGACGAGCTGCACACACTCGCCCACGCGCTGAGTGCCATCGGCTAGCGCCGCACGACCGGGCGCTTCCCGAC